CTGTGAGTTCGAGGCCAGCCTGATCTACAGAGTGAGTCCCAGGAAAGCCAGGGCTACAGTGAAGCCCTGTCTCAAAAAACAAGCAAAACCAACAACAAAAAAGAAAGTTCGGGATGAGGCCACTCTTTAGAGACACTGACATACAGCCATAGCTTGGATGGCCAGCATTTTGACTGTACTTGAAGAGTTCTTGGAGAGTCTGTCTGGTATGGCTTTGCCAGGTAACATCAAGCTCCAGTTTACCTTAATGGCAATCAGGAAGGGAAAGATGTGGTTTAATAAAGGCTACATTAGTCCATCGCCACTAAATTCCTCGGGTCCCCAGAGAAGTGGCACCAAAAAGGCTTGAGTTCAGTTCCTGGTTATCTACAGCCGAACATACCAGCACACACTGGTCTCTTGCCAAACCCTTGGGAGCACCCAGAACTTGGGCAAGTATCCCCTCCCCTTGGTCTGAACCTCTCATCGGGAAACTAAGTAGGTTATAGTGGATGACTGCACTTTGATTAGCAGTGGGCTGCTACTGACAGGAATCTTACGTACCTCAAGCATTCCTGTAGATGAGAAGCCCCTTACGATGTTTTGTTTTTTGAGATAGGGTCTTGCTATCTTAGACTGACCTGCAATTCCCTATGAAGCCAACGACTTTCAACTTCTGATCCCCCTGTGTCAGTGTCCCATGTACACAGACTTTTGCCACTATGCTGGGCTTATTCAGTGCTGGGAACTGACTGAGAGCTTCATGCATGCTAGGCAAACAGTCTACCAACTGAGCTACGGCCCCATCCCATAATGCGTCTTTTGGATAGAGTTATGGTGGAAGTTTCACCCCAGCCCACGGAATCCATATATACCCAAAGAGTCTGGAATGTTCTGGTGGAAGGGAATCCACCCAAGACCCCTCCCCTATCTCCCTCCAAACCCTGCTGCATCCCAGAATGCCAAATGATGATCCCCTCCCCCAGAGATGCTCAAGACCACTCCCATGGGGTATTTAAACTGTCCCCCAGAAAAGTTTTCTGGTCTCTCTTTCTGTCTCCTCTCTGGGGGGCTGGAAGGTTATCTGGGAATGCTGTATCCATTAAACGTGGGCTCTTCTAATTCGTTTTGGTTTGGTCTGATTTAAATTGCTGCATTGGCAGAGAGGCTTATGGGGCGTAGAAACTTTTCAGGTAGATTTATTTATTCTTGAGGCACAGTCCCACTATACAATGCTGGCTGGCCTGAACTCTGAGAGCCCCTCACTTCTGAGTGCCAGGACTAAAGGTATGCACTACCACACCCAGCCCTGGAGACCTCTCTTTTTTTAATGACCTAGTTGGGTTTCTGCGGCCCCAGGAGTCGTGATCCCAGACCTGACGCTTCCTTGGACCTTTCACAGTCTCACAAGCGGATGAGATACAGATTGAAAGACTTGTCCCACAATGTCCCTGGCTGTGACAGGAAACCCTACCAACTGAGGCCCTTGCCCGGAGCAGACACTGCAGGCACGAATAAGAACAGAGCCCGGAGAGGGAAGTGCTCTTAGCCCTAGGTCTTCTGGGTCTCCAGGTCAACTCCCGACAGGAGTAGTAGAGGTGACTTCATCCTGTCTCCAGCTGTGCAGAGCCCCTTCCAGCCTGGCTGGAGGAGGAAATGGTTCCCAGCACAACAGCTGGAAAAGGGGTCCATTGGCTAGGCAGCCATGCCCAGGACTCAAGTTAGCTTAGATTGCCTCTGCAGGTCAACAGCCAGAGGCACCTGTTCAGCACAGCACACAGGGCTGGCCCAGGAGCTGGATTCCTGTGTGGAGAGGCACAGTCGCAGGTTGTGGAGCTCAACGGGGCTCCAAAAATTCAGAAGATAACCCATTCAGCAGCCCCCTGCCCCCTGGGAGATTCCAACCGCTTGCCCCTCCCCCTCGGATTCCAATGGTAGTCTCCTCAGTGCAAACGAAGGAACCCCAGGAAGAGAGGCAGGCTCTCTCTGCCCACATTCTACACACCTAGAGTGACCTCGGGAGGACTCTTAAGGTGCTGGTCTGTACATCCCTGGGTGGCCATGCTCCACCTGAAGCCTTCAGTGAGGGACGCTCTCAACCCTGCTTCAGATAAGCTGCCCTTGGTGTCCTGCTAACTCTGCAGATACTTACCTCAGAGTGAATCCTGTCAGTTAAGTGCCTGCTAGAAAAACCCTGCCCCCATCCCCCTCTGGATCCTTTCAGCCAGCTGCTGGTTCCCTCCACTATAGCATCCCTGCGGCTCCCATCTCGGCAACCTGCACCCCCCTACACCCTACAATTCAAATCAGCTTAAGTCGCCCTAGGAAGAGATCCCAACCCTAAACAGATCCTTTTCATTTTAAAATCTCCATATGAAAACACTCCAGGAAGCTCTCCGCAGGCCACGCAGGGCTCTCTAAGCCAGCCTCCCCTCGCCTCGAGGAAGCAGCTGTGCCCCGAGTCACTCACCAACATCAGCCACTCCCGATGCTCAGGTTGCCTCAAGCACAGGGAGCAACACACACACTCAACTCACCGCAGCAACACCAAGCTGCAGCTGCTAGTGGTAAGTTGGGCACGGTGCCAAGCCCGTCGCCCTTCTTCTTGCTCGGAGGAGAACAGCCCATGAGGCAGGTTTGTGATCACTTAAGTAGGGGAATGGCACTTGGGAAGTACACTACCTTGACAACAGGGACTCGAGTGTGGGAGCCAGTCTGAGAGTTTCCATCCTGCCTTTCCCCTGCCTGGGGCTTACCCATCAAATGCTGTCAGATGGATAGCACTAAATCGGTCTCCCTTCATCATCCAAGGAACACGGCAGCCGGGAAATCCCACCACAGTGCGGATAGAGGTCCCTACTGCTCTCCCATACTACCCTACAGATAGGAGTTTAAAGGTCTGCCTGGCCCTGAGGCAAAGGAAAAGCAAGGGAGACCTCAGCACACGTGTTGTTTACCTCTAGGGTGTGCTCAAGCCACCAGCTCGGGAGGTAAACTCGAGACCCGTCAGGATAATTCCTTTGTCACAGAGACCTGAACTTTAAGCCTACGGCGTTTGCATCTCCCCACAGAATTCCAACAGCTCAGGTGGGACTGGGGTATTACTGGTGATAGCAGCAAGGGAGCTGGCCTAGAGGAAGGTGTAAAACCACCACTACCCAATACCAGCCCCCCATGCCTTTTCTGCCCTGAATGTAATTCACCACCACTATTATAATCAGTCTGCGGTCCTCATCTCTGTAACCCCTCCTCGCTACCGTACACTGCCGAAGATCTTAACACACACTGTAAAAATGACATGTGGCAGTTTGGGTACCAGGGCCTCGGTGATGCTAAGAGACTTGCTGTATGAACAAGGACAGGTTTCTGAACACTTTTGCTTGCACGTGTTGATCTCTGACTTTGAACCATCCCTGTGTAGAGTCTGGGGAGGGCTTCACAGCAAACATGGCTTCAAGGCAGTTCTCATGGGCCAGAAGAACACCCCAGCCTTGATGTCCAGGGATCAGGCTAGGAGCAGTCCATTGATGGCTCCAGGGGGCTCCAAGGCATCTCCCCTTAACAAGGTCTTTCCCACAGCCTGTGTCTTCTCCAAGAAAGATCGGCTTGGCTTTTGTAAGACCAGAATCGACAGACAAACTAGACCATCTGGCTGTTGAATGGTGTTGAGGCATTCTCCCTCCAAGACTGCATTTGAAGACCCACCATGAATTCCGGTTGCCTCAAGAGCCAACATACTCCATAAACTTGTCACCCCTAAGGATTGTTTAAACTGCAGATTGCGGCCCTCAAAGCTGGTCCCAACTTCCTCACATCACCCTTCCTCCAGGGACACAGGCCCTTCTTCCAGTGGTTGTGTCCTTCCCTTTCAGGCCAGGCTGGTTGCATCCTAGGTCACCCACAGGAGGCTTAAACCTTCATTCCCTGAGCACTGGCCCTCTCCACCACGATGAGGATTGCTTGGCCATCTCATTGTTCTCCTGTAGAATCCAGTTCCCCAACACTAATGCGGACGGCGGCAGAGTCCCTTCCTTATCCCTGCTGTCAACACAGTACTTTTGGCCCTGGGACGCCTCCCCTCCCCACTTTCTCCCGGCAGCTACTGGCTCAGGAAGGGTAGGCTACGTAGTTTTAGAAACGTGCCTCTCCCCTGGGCTGAATATCTCAGCTGTTGGCAGGGACTTTGGGACACCTGCTCTAGTTATGTTTGTAGACACTGCCTGACCTCTCAAACAGAAAGTAACATTCCACCTTCAGAAAGAACGCTGTGGGACTGTCTCCAAGGTGCATCTGATGGGAGATGGGTACTTAAAGGTAATACGAAGAAGCTCGAGCCTCTTTCGTGAAAGAAGTTTCTGTTTGCACAAAGGGGTGGGAGGGGCTCACCATCCTGGCCATGCTCTGAGAAAGGATCCGGTCCTTTGGCAACATGAAGGAACGGTCCCCACTGAGCCAGACTCTGGGACCATGGAAGGTGCATTTATTCCACCTGCCCAAACAGACTTAGAAAGCGCTTGGAACCAGAAGCATACTGCATGCATGGGCACTTAGAGGTTTGCTTGCGGTCTGCTTCAGGTACTCCTTCACGTACTTCCAGTCTGGTTTTGTTTGTTTGTTTGTTTGTTTGCTTAGTTTCAACGACCTTGCAATACAGTCCCCGGTCTCCCGCAACACAAATAAGAGTAAATCTCATTCTGGTGGACCCGATAGATCTGGAACCTCCCAACACCCAAAGTTTGCCCCCTTTCTCGAAACCTCAAACCCACCAAGTGCCCCTGCGCTCCAGCTCACTCTTCACGAGTGAAGACTAGAGGCAAATCCACGATCTGGCCCGGCACCTGCGCCCTTTTCCAATTTGAGGGGGCGTGGATGGTACCAGGGTCAGGACTCCGAGTGCGGCCACGCGGGAGAGGCTGCAAGCGGTCCGGCCACGCGGTGCAGCCGTCTTCCCGGCAGCCCCGCCTGACTTGGGGTGGAGGGGAACGACCAAGGGTCCAGCGGAGTCGCGGCTGTCCACTCACCAGTAGTAGTCTCACAGAGAGACGGCGGCAGCAGCAGCAGCAGCAGCAGCAGCGGGGAGAGCGCCAGAGTGGGGCCCATGGTTGTCCTCGCCCCGGGACTCGGAGCAGGTGGCTGCGGTGCTGGCGCAGGGTCGCTCGTCTGGGTGGCCGGAGCGTCGGCGCCGCTCGGGGAGGCCTGGCGACAGCCGCGAACTCCCGAGTCGCGTTCCGGCGGTCCCTCCTGCCTGCCGCAGATCTGGGCTGGGGCGCGGAGCCAGGAGCCAGAAGCGAAGGTGGCTGCGGCCCGGGCGGTGTCTGAGCGGCTGCGGCCCTGCGCGCGCTGCAGCGACGACTCCCGCCCCGTCCCGTCCGCGCTGGCCTCCGCCCCCTCCCCCAGGAGCTCGCCCACAGCGGCGGCGGGGCGGGCGGGGCGGCGGCTGGGCGGGCGCTGGGCCGCGAACAATAAGCAGAGGAGGAAACTCCGCCCTGGAGCGCGGCGGGCGGGGGAGCCGGGGCTGGAGGCCCCGACCAGTGCGTGTGTGTGTATGTGTGTGAGTGAGTGTGTGTGTGTGAGTGAGTGTGTGTGTGTGTGTGTGTGCGCGTGTGCGCGCGCGCACCAGGGACCCCGCCAGACAGTCAATCCCCGCCGCCGATGTCCTACGCACCGCTTTTGCGGGGGATCAGCCGGGATCCTCCATAATGCTGCGACCCTTGCACGAAGGCACAGACCCACAGCCTGGGAGTTCCGCTAAGAACCCACCCTTCCATGTCCCCGGACCTCAGCGCCTTCTGTGGCTGAGCCGGGGAGCAGGCCCCCTAAGTAGCAGGTGCCTAGAATTCGTGCAGTCCCGGAGCAAGATTGTGCTACGGGATGAGCACCGTGCCATCTGGACCAATTTTTTTTTTTTTTTGCCTAACTCCTCCGACGTTTCTCCGAATACAAAATGCATGTGACTCTTTTACGGCAAAATAATAATAATAATAATAATAATAATAATAATAATAATAATAATTCGGCGATTAATTTGTGCGGATCTGTGTCCTATGTGCTTTGTGCGTATTAATTCGCTTGCTCGTCACAGCAGCCACATTTTAAAGCCTCATTTTACAGACGGGAAAAATCTTTTTTTTTGTTTTTTGTTTTTTGTTTTTTGTTTTTGTTTTTTTTTTTGGTTTTTCGAGACAGGGTTTCTCTGTATTGTTTTGGAGGCTGTCGGTCCAGCCTGGCCTCGAACTCACAGAGATCCACCTGCCTCTGCCTCCCGAGTGCTGGGATTAAAAGCGTGCACCACCACTGCCCGGCGGGAAAAATAGTTAAAAAAAAAAAAGGTTAAGAAAGTTTTTTTAAGATCCCTTAGGTGGTAAATGGCAGACTTGCCTATGAGACTAGTCTGGAAAAATACACACCGCCTGTAATGGCATAATTGCTCCATGAGAATTAATCTTGCTGAATAAAAAGCAGCAATGGAGATTTAAGGGCCTCGGCTTCAGATCCAACTTGGGCTCAAAACCTAGTTGTGCTGAATTATGCTGTGTGCCTGGGTTTTTTTTTTTTCAGCAAGGCTAACAACGCCTCCAACAACTGCTGAGACACGCGCTAACGTCGGAGAAGCCCTTAGCCTAGGGCCAGAACCATGGACAGTCTCAATCAAACAAGCAGCCTGCGCGAGTTTTGAGAAAGGCGTAGACTTGGGGTGGGGATTGGAATTGGAGAATCTTATAATCAACCCGAATTTACCCCGTAAACGGACAAAGAAACTCGGTCGCATCCTCTTCATCATACCTGGGGGTCTTTGCGGGTTGCAGACCCCGGAGTCCGCTGCTGGGAGACACCCCAACCACGCCCGGATACAGAGTTGGAGGGGGAGGGGCGGCTAACACCGAAAGGTGAAAATTTGTCACACAGGACTCCTGGGTTTCTAATCCGGAGCCTTTTAGACAGATGGGCCTGGTGGAGGGAGTTGATGAATCCCTCAAGGGGGCTGCGCACAGGCTTAGCTTAGGAGGCACAGGAGCGGGAGCGGGGCTGGGGTGTCCCTGCAGCCGGTCTCAAGCTTGGGAAGGGCTGACCCGCAGTTTTCACTAGGAAGTTTCTGCATGATCGTTTTTTAGGCGCGCGGTTTTCCACGCCGCTTTTCGGAAAGACAGAGGGTGTTCCCTGAAATACGTTGGGATGTGTGTGTCTTTGATGTTTTTTTAGTGCTGTTCTCCCGACATCAGTGCCAACAAAAAGGCTTGTTCTCAAACCAAGCAATACTTTTTCAAAACTGGGCTTGAAATTTTTATTTTGTATGTGATCTAGTTAACCCATGCTCTTGCATTCAGTGAATCGACTTCTATACAAACTCAAAAGCAATCGCATGAAGTTTGTGGATAGAGTTTGGGACATTTTAAATAAACATGATTTCAGATTGGCCCCACTATCAGATCAAACATAGTTAAAATGACAGCAGGTGTCTGGGCTTAGGAAGGGGGGTCACTCTTTGAATCTGAAAACTGTGAAATCAGAACTGTGGTTTCCAGTATGTGTACCATGGAACTTCCAGAAGGAGGCCAACAAAATGAGGAGACTATGGTCCCCATACATCTGGAGTTCAGTGCACTTTGGCTATTACTATCCATGTGTTCTGTCTCTCTGTGTCTCTATCTCTATCTCTCTGACTCCGTCCTGTGTGTGTGTGTGTGTGTGTGTGTGTGTGTGTGTGTGTGCGTGCGCGTGCGCGCGCGCGCCGGGGAACAAACCCACACCGTCTGTGCATGCTAAGCAAGCAGTCTACCATTGACTGAGCTAAGTACACCTCAGCCCATCCACTAACAGACTTTAAACCTTTTAACATAGGGTCCTCAGTGTTTACTCTTCACTTCCTCAGAGCAGCCAGAACAGCACAGCAGCACAACAGATGTTATATATATAGATACAGATGCAAATCTACAGATGCAGACGTGTGTGCCAGCTTGGAACCATAACACAGTAACCTATGACACGAGATTTAAATTTGTGTTCTTGCTGCCCCTGGCAGTCCCTGGCAGATGCAATTTGACCCTGAGTGCAGACCTGGTGTCTCCTATTGATCCTCATCCTGAAACGGTCTGATCCCTGCTCGAAAGGTCTAGAGAGGTAGGACAGATCCTGTGCCACTATACCCCATAAAGATCTAACGCACTAACTTGCCACTTCAAGGCCACTGTACCTGCATAAGGGAACAGGGATGTTCTTACAATGGACTTCCTAACCTTGGACCAGAGCAGTGTTCCGTCTACCTTAAAATTCAGGACCTGGAAGATAGTGCCTTACCTAAAGAAAATGGACAAAGGTAAGACAGATGACTTTTATTGGATTATATATATATATATATATATATATATATATATATATATAAAGCTTCACTTTATTTTGACTGCCAGGTTGTGTAATTCTATGAATTTCCACTGGGGCTTGAATTAAGGGCCTCACTCCAAAGTCATGCCCTGTGTGTCATTATCCAACCCCATCTACTGTAACAGGCGACGTGCCAGACATTATGCGCTGTGCTGAAAATGCAAACACAAGGAGCAGAGCCTCCCGGCTCTTCAGGGAGAAGTGATACCTGTACACAAACATGGTTAGCAGGTGGCCAGGACCGTGACACAAGCGGCGGGGCAGCAGAGAACCAGACGCAGCTCAGGGAGGTTAGAGGAAGGCTCCCGGGGGATGGGTGTGGGGCTCCAGGTGTAGGACTTCAGGGGAAAAGGAATAGGGAGGCATTTCAGGGAGGAGAGGGGAGAGGTTGAGGTGAGGCTGGGAGCTGAGACCTGCGGGGATTTTTTTTCCTAAGTAGAGAGCTGGTTTTGTGGAGTGTCGGAACCTGTGAATCAAAAGGTGGCTACAGACATCTTTAAGACAGTGACCAACTCTCCATGTGAAAACAACCACCCTGGCTTCGGTACAATGAGTGAGCAGATGCGACTTCAGACGAGACCACAGAACAATGCGGAGCCACTGCAAAGGTCCAGGAAAGCCATGAGTTTGCCCACTGGAGGCAGGAATGAAGTGAAGGAGTCATATAGGAGGCATTTGGGTACACAAGGATGTGGACATGGTGTAGCGGCTGGGTACATGGAGTGTTGCCGTATAAAGCATGACTGGGCTCTAGATAGTCACTGGTTACTAGGTGAATTATGAGTGCAAAGGTTGGGCAGAGGGGAGGACAGTGGCCTTCCTGAGATGGGAGAGATTAGAAAAAAAAAACAGACTTGGGAGAAGAAAAGTCCAGTTTCAAAATGTGCTGATGCTAAAGGTCTGGAGGTCCTTTTTGCGACACTGCAGCTCAGACCAGAGGTCGGGACCAGGAGCTGTAATAGGTTGGAGGATTGATGGGATGTACTAGGAATGGTCTCCAGTGGAGACAGGAAGAGGCTGAGGCACAGCCTGTAAAAGACCCTCTTTCACAGCTGGCCTGGGGTGGGGTGAGGGCAGATGTGGAGAATGCCCCCCAGAGAGTGACTCAGCCAGAAGAAATGGAGGGAGAAGGGGCGATCACCCAAGTCCCCTGCTGTAAGGGCTAAGACTCAATGGCCTGATCTGGCAATCCGGTGTGATCTCCTTAGGAAGAATGGATTTGCAGGGAAGGGCTGAATGGAGGACAGGAACTGAGGACAATGTAGATGTGAATGGAAGGGATGTGGGCAGAGTCTGGGACCAAGGGAAGGCTGTGGGCAGGGCTTTACCTTAAGAAGAGAGAAGCTTCCGCCAGGAGGAAGGAGCTCGATGAAAGGGAGAAGTCAGAAGAATCATGGACAGTGAGAGTCATCTAAAGCCAGGGAACTTCGCTGCTAAAGGTTTGAAGGTGAGAGCTGGGGAGATGGCTCAGTGGGAAAGACCTGAGTTCAGATTCCAAGAACCCATGTAAAGCTGGGTGTGGTAGCATGAATCTGCATCTAAGACCAGAAGCCAAGACAAGAGAAGCCTGCAGAAATTCATGGATCAGCGAGCAGAGTCTGGTGTGCTCACCAGTGAACAACAGAAAACCCTTTCTCAAGGTGGAAAATGAGGTTTCACACACACACACACACACACACACACACACACACACACTCACACGGGGGGAGAGTTGAGAGAGAAACAGTTGAGAGACAGTTGAGAGAGAACTTTGAAAAAAGTTTTGGTTTGAGACACTGTCTGTCTGTCTGTCTGTCGTGGCAGGTGAGGAATGGTCTTGGAGTGAGTCAGCTGAGAATTTAACCCTCCTCTGGTTTGGTGGCCACATATCCTGGTTTTAGCCTCCATGATCCACAGTCTCTTCCTCTATAAACCAAACCTCAACCCACCGAATCCCCACAGGAGCTGGAGGGTGTATGTAGTGCCTTGATGGTGCTTGTTTCACGAACAGTGATTTTTTTTGCATCCACAGAAAAGCTGCCTTAATTCCCTCTTTGTCCCCAAAGTATTCATTTCCTCTTACAAGCCTGAGTCCAGGGTCATAAGACCCTAACATGCTGTGCCCGAGTGACAGGTGAGAGACCTTCTCTGCAGAGGTGATGCCTATCTCAAGCCAGAATTACAGGTTACACAGTCTGCTTGTGCCTACAATCTTCTCAGGGGAAACAGCTGTGTGCAGTGTCCCAGAAATTCCCACATGCCTCACATTCAGACACAGGCTAAGGCTCTGTGGATGTTAGGGGTCACTGATGTCTTCACCCATAGGGAAAAAAAGCTGAGGCCCAGAGAGCTCAGACAACATCCTCACTCACGTAGCTTACAAACAAAGATGTTTCCAGAACCAGTCCAT